GAAAGATTATCTACCATCAAAATTGTCGAGTTCGACTCCATTCAGCTCGATGACACATCAATCACACTACTTTCCGATTGCAGTCGAGGTTTTCAAGTCGAGAAGAGGACCTGGGTTAGCCGTGCCTTAGTGACAAGCAACCATTTTCAAACAGCATAGCTTAAGTCAAGAAAAAGCTATCTGTCAATGAAGATTTCTGAGTTCGATTCCGATCCAAGGTCTTTAAACCGAGAAGAAGACCGAAGGGCAACGAGAAGCCACGTTCTGATTCAAATTCCGAACTACGGCTTCAATTTCATATCATTCCAAGATGAACTCGGCTTCACGACGGAGGAGTCATCCGTAACTCAATTCGACAGGGAGTTATTGAAACATCAGAGTCAATTTTCAACTCCACCGAACGAAAAGTGTGTCTTTTAATCTTTGCCCTATCCCCGTTACACGACTATGGGCAAAGAGGGGCAGCTGTCAACACACATTTTCGTCCTACTAGAATTCAAACTCCTAAAGATAGGATAGAATTTTGCTAGGATTCAAAAAATATGATAGAGTTCTACTATGATTTAAACTCCTAAAGATAGGATCCACAAGCACTATAAATAGCCATTGTAACTCACTATTGTAAGACACGATTTATACACAAAACATAGAGGAAAGCACGGAAGATACAAAGGCAAAGCTATTGTAAAGGATTCGAAAAGGAAATAAAAGGTAGTATTTTCTTTTTTCTTTCTTTTGCATGTGCACGTTATTTTTTTGAGATTTGGTTCGAATAACCCAAAACGTGGGTTGCGCCGATGACCAAAATGGGTGGGGTTTCGAAGTTTCGAACCTAGATCTACCTCGAGGCTTATTTTTAAAAACCGGTTTGATTTTCGGTTAAAGGAGGGAAAAAGCTTTTTAAAAATCTATATTAGTCCCTTTATTTATTATATGGATATTTTATTCATTTATTTTATTATTCATGTATTATTATATATGTATATATATATTAAATTATTTTCATTTGATTTTTACTATATTTTATTATTATTATATATATTTCTTTAATATTTACTTATAAGTCTAATATTACTATATATATATTAAATTATCTTTATCTAGTCGTATATTTTTTATACTTTTAATAGTTTATTTATATACATATTATTAAATATATATTAATTATTTTTATTTGATTATTTCTTTAGTTATGTAATATATCTTATAACTTTATATATTTATATTATTTTTTATTATTTTCGTTTTTTTTATTATTATTATATTATTATTATTTTTTAAAAACCTTGTGTCTTTATCATTATCATTATTAAACATTATATTATATACTACTAACCTAGAGGGCCCATTTTTTTGTCTTATTTATTATTAGAGCCCCCCATTTTCGGTGAATTGAGAGGGTAGTTTTTCTATTTTTAAGTATTTGGTGTACATATATAGCTTATTTATTTTATTAATACTTTGATATATATATATATTTATATTTTTTTCCTTTTTTCAAATATTACTATATATAATTATTACTTTACTATTTTTTCTTATCTTACTTATTTATTTTATTTATTTATTTTTCCTTGTATCTATTTGTTTTCTTTACCTTGTTTATCTAACACATTTCTCGATTTTTTTTCAAATCAATCAAGGGTAAGTAATTAGGATCGAAACTTTACCTTTTAATTTAACTTGTTATTTTTCTTAATTAAGACAACTGGAAATTACGTAGTACCGAAAGGGCGGTTCAAGGGTGCTAATCCTTCCTTGACCGTAACCGACTCCCGAACCCGACATATTTCTGGTAAGACGCAGATCAGGTAAGAAATAGGGTATCCGATCAACCCATTTATTTTTAAATAAATGATCGGTGGCGACTCCAATCCACATTTTTCAAGTCGAAGCCCAATTCCGGGGCCCAACCGAAAGACGGTTGCGACAACTTGTATCTTAGACTGTGCACAGTAGGAACAGAGTCATGATTAAATATTGACATAGGTCGAAATATTAAATTTTTTAAGAAAAATCCAATAGCTTACTAGGAATTTAAACTCAAAATTCATAAGACAATGTATAATTTCTCTAATATTTAAACTTACAAAGATCTAAATTTTTATTAGACCGAAAAAATTAAGAACATGAGATTATCTTTATTTAGCTCGGCCCCTACTTGATTAAATATTCAATAATTTTTTGTATTTTTTAATTTGAATACTTATTTTTATATGAACCAAAATACTATTAGATCAAAATCTATTAAATATATAAATTTTTTATAGGGATCGGAGCTCTTTTGAGCCCCAACAGAATTTTAAGGTATATACGAAGGTTTATGTGGTGCATAGAGGTTCAAAAAAAAAAGGAAAGTAACAATAGAAATAGATAATAAAGAAACTTCTAAATTAATTGAAACTGATGAATCACAAGGAAGACAACTTACCTTATTGCGACATATTGATACTTTAATAGCATGAGATTGGGAAATTTTGGCCACCTGTATTGTACGATGAGGAAATAAGATAGTCGATGCACTAACAAGGCTAGCATGAACACTTCTAACAGGGCTTCAGCAATTCATGCAGTCACCAAACTCCATGGTACAAGAGAAGTGGGCTACAGACCCTAAATAAAGAAAATAATATTTTCCCTCATCATACAACAACAACAAAACTTAAAAAGGTTAAAGGCTTGTTTTGCCATTATGCCAAACAAAACCAACAGAAGAATAATAAATTTTAAAAATATTTTAAGAAATAGAAACTGAAAAGTGAGAATATTATGGTCCAATGCTGAATGAGTCAATAGTCCAGTTGCATCCACTTACCCAATCTGACGGAATAAAAAAACCAATAAAATAATGTAAAGATTTTGCTTGGATTCAAATAGAATATTAATTATTCAGATCTTTCTTTCATGGTTTAATTAAATAATTTTTTATTGTGGTAGTCATCGGCCATACGTGCAGCAAATTCCTTCGATGAGAGGAGTTGACTCAATTTATGGACTAATGAACGGTGCTTACTTGGTTAAAAAGTTAATGATAAATTAACAAAATATTAATAGATTTTAATCATTTGATAATGAAAGTTCAAAAGCTCAAAATACTCTTGTAGTTTTTAAAGTGCGAACTTAGAAGCTCTACGAATAACAATTATTTTTTTAATCATTAATGTAATTTGATTCATACATAGATCTACTATTAATACATGTAATTAGTTCAGGCTTAGAATACTTTTATATATGAGGTCATTTTTATAAGATAACTAATTTTTTATACTTTTTAAAATCTTTCAGTTAAATATTTAAAGTTTATAATTTTTAAAAATATTAATTGAATTAAGATTAAATTAATAAGTATATATGGTAAGAATCTGAAATACGTGCTTTGCTTTGATCGGTGAACAAAACGTAGTCAGCTACGTGAAATTTCGCCTTACAGCTACGTTATGGCATTCTCTACCTCTCGTTGCAAGGACTTCAATAGTCAATTCTGTAGCTTCTCTTTTTAATGTTTGATTTGTATTTCTATTTTTATATTTAATTTTAAGGTAAAACGTATTTTCTTTTTCGAATTGGTGGAAATTTCATTTAATCCATATAGTTTTGAAAAATATCACTTATCTCTAGAGAACTTTTTGTGGAAAAATTATTCTTAATTAATTACTTATTAATCTATTTTTATCTCTAATAATTCCATTTTAATATTTAATTAAAAATAATAAAAATATAAATTATTTTAATTATTACTAAAATTATAAAGTAAAATATAGTCTAATATAAACATGTGATAAACATTTTTTAAAATATGTAAATTTATTTTTTTAAATGTCATGAATAACTTATTTTTTCCCTTTTTATGCTAAAATGTCACGATTAACCTATTTTTTCCCTTTTTATTCTTTTAACGATATTTTTTTATTAATTATTATTTTAACAATATATTATGCAAATACATGCTAAATATTTTATACTTATTTTAATTCAGTTTTATCAATTAATTTTGAAAAAGAAATATTTTGTCTTCCCCTTTCTTTGCTAAACGAACAATGGATTGGAAAAAAAAACTGAATGGATGATTAGGGATATCAAAATATACAAAGGACGAATAATACTATAAAATTTTAAAATGTTAAAAATATAATTTTAGCATTGTTTTTCGTTTAAATTTATAGTTTTTTTTAATAAAATAAAATTATAATACTATCGTTTTTAGAGGCTAAGATGCAATCTTATCATTAACTTAACATTATAACTTCAAATAGTAAGAGACTAAAATTGAAATTTAACCACTTAGGGGCAATGGCCCCTGCAAGTCATCTAAGCTTAATTATTTATTAATTATGATGATGTATCTCTTAAATTAATATTTATTTATAGTTTTACATTCTATAGATATTATATAGTTGAATAAAATCTCTTCCAATCTGTAGAATAGAATTAACAAATTCCTAGATGACGAAGTCTGCTAGGTCTTAACTTTGGAGCACGTCTAAAATAATTCATTTCTTCTTCCCGAAGTATATATGCTATGGGGAAGACATATTAATTACACCTAGAAATTATAACATTATTTTCCTCGAAGCTGCCTTCATCTTCTTACGTCAATGACTATGTATGCATCACTCTGTACACCCATGCATAAGTTTTTATAATTATAATATATATATATATATCGATAAAAATATATGACTGAGATTAACTCTTTATTTTTTTAGTCGATACATTCTCATTTTCTATTGTTAATCTCACTCATATGTTTTTACTCGTCCAAACCCAAGGTCATAAATCTATATAAAACTAAAAAAATTACACTGTATAATTAGATCCTACCTCTCTCTATATATATAAATGATGTTTTTCTTGTAACAAAAGAAGACTTTTCACAACTCTTAGTAATTTATTACTTGTTTCGTACATCTAATCCAACGTTGGGAGTCAGCTGGCATGAAGCACCGTGTATATAACAAGTTGATGAATCAAAGGAAGAAGAGAGTAAGAAAAGCGTGGATATTTCCCCCTCCAAAAGCACTCTGTCCCGATGGCGCCGAAGCACGTCCGCTTCTCCTTTCTCCTCTTCATTTTCTTTTCGTTTCTCTTCACCATAAAATCAGTCACCGGTGGTCTAAAGTTGCTGCACAATATTGGCGTGGATTCCAAAATGCTGAATATATGCATGTCCATGGCTCTTTCAGATTTTTACGCCAAACACCCTAATTACCAAACCAGATGCTCTCTCTCTCTCCCAACATCGGATTCACCTTCGCCAGGTACCGTCCTTTAACTTCGACATACCAATTTAATTATTCTACTATCTATATTCCTGGTTCGTTATTAATTTTATATATATTTTTCAATATCTATTTATCGTTAAACAAATCAATAACCTTTATATATTTTGGTTTTTAATATGAACATTGCAATTGAGTTGAGGTATTTGTTATTTATTAATTTAGTAATATTTTATAATAAATTTTAACTGTATTTTTAAATGTTCTTGGTAAAATGATAACATCCATTCTAGTTTATAAAATATTTGATGATAATGTTCAAAATGATTAGCCTTGTAATGAAGCAAAAGAGAAGAAAAAATGAATAGTTTTGTCCACTCTAAATAATTGGTAAAATATGTCACAAATTCAAACTTTGACTTATCACCTATATATATATATATATATATATATATATATATATATATATATATATTTATTTGGACTTAAAATTGTGGGGTTTTTTTTCTTTCTCTTTCTTTTTCTCTTAGGAGGGAGACAAAAAATAGATGGAAGGAATTTCATGTTGTATATATACCCTTTTGTTTGCTTATTTGGCATTTCCTGTGTATTATGTATAATATTGATCACATGCACGATTTTTCAATTCAAAAATGGATTATGAAATGTAATAAAAGTCTTTTGATGATGTTATCAATTAAATTTCAATTATTACATTAAAAGAGTATAAATGTTTAATTTTTTGTGATTAAAAGTGAAAGGTTTAATTTTTGAATATGTATTATTGAGTCTTCTTTCTAAAATTTAATGTTTTTAACTAATTGTTTATTTTATTAATTATATCTACCTGAAATTTTGTTTGTGTCAATGTTATACAAGATTTTATATTATCAATACGTATATATATATATATATGTGTATCTAATCTAAAAAAATTATGGATATTATTAATAGAGTTATTTCACCCAGAAAAGAACCCTACATATATCACTATCTCTTCCCATTTATACGAGAAATTATTCACTTATGGTCATGTATAATTATTTAATGCCACGTATTCAATTTTCCTCACTCGTATTTGAAAACTCTTACTTTCCTTCTTAGAAAATTTTCCTTTAAGGTCAAACAAAAAGGAATTTGGAACCCACCATTAATGCTGGCCTGCAAAACAATTCTTGCTTGGTTTTGGATGATGAAAGTAGGGATGAGCACGGACAGTTCGGGCCGGTCATTTGATCGTCCCGAACTCGACTAAAAGATTATGGCTTAATTTTGATGTCGTCCTGCTTCGATAACTTTTAGTTTTTCTTCCTCACCTAACCTATCTCGATTTTTGGACTTGAACCTTAATTCGATTCGACTAGACTCCAACGGAATATATTGATATTTTAAAGTAATATATTATATAATAACATATTTATAATCATTTATTATATTTTAAATAATTAAAATAATATATTTTATTATTTTTTAATAATTAAAGAATATTTTAACACTATAAAAATAAAAAATTATATATATTATATATATAAAAAGGTAAAAATAATAATGTATACCATGTAAGTGATTTTTCACCTAAAACCCGACCCCACCCTACCCGAAACTATTTTTTATATAACTCGTCCGTCTAGTCTCAAATCAAAATTTAAAAATTAAGAAGAAGAAAAAACTCACCCTCATAGGATAGGGTCGATTCGGTTCGCATCGGTTCATATATTTTAACCATCACTACATAAACTAAAGGTTGAAGAAGTAGGAGGCTTCTTCAATGATTCATTAATCCCTTTTCTTTCTTTGATCAAATTTCCCAAAGTGAAGAAAATGTTTTACCCTTTGATCAACAAGAAGATTAAAAGGTTTTTACCCTTCAACAAGAAGATTAAATTGTTGGATTGGGATGTCTCCGGCGACATAAACGTCGGAGAAAGGTTTCCCATGATATTGTTTTCCATTATGGCCTCGATGAAGGAGCCATTTTTAACAGCTTCTGGTTCAAAAGGGAACAAAAAAAAAACGTCTTTTCTATTATCCAAACCCTCTACTTTTATTCAGAACTTGAAAAGATTTGCTGCGCTTGTTTTTCTATCTCAGCAAGATGATGCTGCCTTTTTCTCTAGACCCCGCCAACACCGGTATAAACATGGCATCGAAGTGAGAGGCTTAGTTACAAGTATCCATTCGAAGAGTAGTGTCATTGTCTGATCTTTGAACTTGCTTAATGGCTAAACAACCATGTGATCGACGATGAATGCATAACGTGAAAATTTCAATGTTAGAAAGCTATAAAAAAACAGAAAACCAAACAAGAATGTCGTTTTGCAGGCCAGCATTAATGATGGATTGTATTTTCCTCTTTATTCGACCTAAGAAGGAAAAAGTTTTTAAGAAGGAAAGGAAGAATTTTCAAATATGAGTTGAAAAATTGATTACGTGGCATTAAATAATTGGATGGGACCATAAATGAGATGGTGGAAAGGTTTCATATAATAATTTTTTCATTTATACCATTTAAATTGACGATTTAATTAGGAAATGCAGTTGGACATGTTCCACAAACATCAGCCGAAGCCTCATTTGCAATAAAACTTGGAGACAGCACTTGTCCCTCTGCTAGTCCTTTTCTGATCAGAACATCCATGGCCGACTTCTCTCGCCTAGCAAAAGCTACGGTTTCTACTTTGGAAATGTTTCAATGGAACCAAGTCGTACTTGTATATGAACACATGGAATTCAGTAACGCCATCATCCCCTATTTAGCCGATGCATTAGAGAACAAGGGCATTCAACTATCACACAAGACTGCAATCCCAACCTCTGCCCAAACTTCTCAAATTTTGCAACAGCTTGAAGTGCTAATGACCCTGCAAAGTATGGTATTCGTGGTGATGCACATGTCGACAGACCTCACTTCTCGTTTCTTTGCGGTTGCGAACGAGGCAGGAATGATGAGCAAAAGATTTGCATGGCTTGTGACCTTTGCAGATACCATGGATCATGTGGCTATTGAGTCAATGGAGGGTGTAATAGTATTAAGGCCTTACGTGCCGAACACAAAAGCTCTTAAGAACTTCAGAACGAGATATAAAAGGTTATCCATGATGATGCAGAACAAGGAGGCCACCGAGCTAAATCTTTTTGGTTTGCGGGTTTACGATATAGTTCACAGACTAGCTACGAGGGTGGAACAAAATTGTAATTGGTATTATAGCTTCTTGAAGGAGACGAATTGTAGAAGTTGGTTATTGCGAATGTTGAACACTAGTTACAGAGGGGTCAGTGGGGACTTTGAGTTGGTGAATGGACAGATTCAGCCTTCGGTCTTTGAAATATTTAATGTAACCAAAAAGGGGCAGAGGATGATTGGCTATTGGACTCATGACCGGGGAATATCTAATAACTTGTATCCGAAATCCGGATACACCCGAAGAAAACTCGAGGCAAACGAATCGATCAGAAGCAAATGGATAATAGGGGTTCCGAGTAAGGGTGGATTCAAAGAGTTTGTGAACATACAGCCTTGGGATAAGAAAGGCGACGAACACGAACCGGGTTTCACCATAGAGGTTTTCAAAGCCGTGTGGGAGAGCTTGGGCCTACCTCCAAATGGTTATGAATTTAAAACCATGGATGGAACATATGATGATCTTTGTTGCAAAGTTGATGCTAAGGTAATTTGTTCTATTTCTCCAACTTTCCATCTTCTAAATGATCACATAATTTGTTTTGGGGATGAAATGTTACAGGAAATCCATGCTGCCGTGGGAGATATCTCGATTGTGTCCAGCAGGTCAAATTGTGTGGATTTTACATTGCCATATCTAGAGTCTGGTGTGGCAATGCTGATAAAAACCAGACATGATGGACCAAAAAACATGTGGATATTCTTGAAGCCATTAAGCTGGGATCTATGGTTGGTAATCATCAGCATTTGCATTTTCATCGGGATCGTTGTTCGGGTTCTAGATCGTCGCGAAAATACGGAATTTAACGGATCACCAAGAAAGCAACTCAGCGAAATTTTGATGTTTCCGTGCCTATCAGTGGCAACTCCTCAAAGTAAAGTGGCATTTTCCATGTCAATTAATTCGCTCAGAACATATTGAAAATAAATGTATTGTTCAAATAGCATTGTTTTTGGTAACAGGAGACATGGTGGTAACCAACTGCTCAAGGTTGGTCTTGGTGGTATGGATATTTCTGGCATTTATATTGATGCAGAGTTACACGGCGAACTTGTCTTCGATCTTGACAGTCAATCAGTTGCAGGCGACGATCCCGAGTATCAGAGAACTTAGAAAATGTCATGTTGGTTACCAGAATCTATCATTTGTAAAAGATTACCTGATAAACCACTTTGGGTTCGAGGAGTCTATGCTGAAACCATATGGGTCAGTTGATGACTATCAGGAGGCCTTGTCCAAGGGATCCGACAACGGTGGAGTTTGCGCCATCTACGACGAAATTCCGTACATCAGAATCTTTCTCGCTCAGTATACTACAGGTTACATGATGGTCGGCCCGACCTACAGAACAGATGGACTAGGATTTGTAAGTTTATTTTCATCTTGATATACATGTATTGTATCTGAACAATCAAGTTAGGTGTTACTTAATACTTCGTTTTAATTTCAGGCATTACCGGTAGGTTCGCCGCTGGTGGCTAATTTTTCGAGGGCAATCCTGAATTTCACTCAAGGAAAATACATGGCTCCAATTGAGAAAAAGTACTTCGGCGTAGTGTCCATTGATCTAGACGACACCGGGTCGGTCTCGTCGGCTAGTCCTAGTCTCACTTCAAGGAGCTTTGCCGGCCTATTTATCATCATCGTGGTCATTGTGTTCTTAGCCTTGCTTTTCTCGGAGAACCATATGCTCGGAAAGCTCGTTCGAAGATGCATCTTTCGCAACTCTCGCGATAACCCGGGATCAAGAATTCAGCCTACTGCCGAGATGACTGTCGCCAACGTTACTAATCCTCCTGAGATCAACAATGTTCAAGAAAATCACAATTCTAACCAGGATAATAGAGATGAATCTGCAGATGAAGCTGCATTGGAAGTTCACTCATTCAACTAGCTTGGTACATAGTTTTCAGGGCATTTAAGCTTATTAGAACAATATTTTCAAAAGAATGTATGAAACACACATTTACTAAGATCTCACTGTAATATATATGCATACCATTGCCGATCATATTTGATTTAATGGAATTTGATTAGAATCAAATGTTAATGCCATCATACATAAATACATTGTTTAAGGGATTTAATATTTCATCCCTCTATCAATCGGTTGTTTATACCTTTTATGATTATTTAATAAAAAACCAAATGTTTTTTTTGGATAAATAAACCAAATGTTTTTACATGTTATATATTACATTTTTGTATTCAAAATTTATTGACTTTGATCCTTAATATTTGAAATATTCAATAAACTCAAAAGGTAGTGCCGACTAGTGTTGACATAAGTGGTTGGAATTCAGGAATTTGAGCTTATAAGGTTAAGTTTGAATCCTATTACTGTCACTTTTGGTGAACAATCTATAAATTCATATATAAATCTTAATTTAATCTTAGGTATGTTCTGATCCTGGACTTGAAGAGTCACTCCTGACTTAAAATTTTGTTGTAAAAAAAAGTAATTTAAGATGTTTTGAATAGAATTTTTTATATTTTAATAAATAACATAAATATAAATATAAAAAACAGTTGATCCCCGGACATCAAACTAAGACAAGGAATAAACCTAAAAGAGAAAAACTACATTAATAAAAAGACAAGAAATATTATCCATCTAATTAAAAAAAGTTGATGATATAATTTTTTATATATAAAGAAAAAGATAGATAAATATCGACGGGTTGGAAAAGCCAACGCCTTTGGATAAAAGTGACGGCTCCAGCGGTCGCCCCTTCCCAGTTGGATTCAAGTAGGTCCCACTTAGGGTCCACGTCGGCAGAGACACATACATTACAATTAATACACCTTATTTTGATTCTTTACCACAACCGAACAAAACATTATTAAAACCCCAAATATTTTTGTCCTAAAAACAGCTCATTTTTTCTTACAAGGAAAAATGAAATTAATTTCTTGGTGTGTATTGTTCCACGTGTCCATCCATTACTCGTCTGCACCTAAATTTCCCACCCTCCCTAAGCCAAACCAAACCAAATAACAGACTTATAGCAAGTGTGCAATCTCTACAGGTTTTAGTCCAAAGGCCAAAAAACCCCCTTAAAATTGCTTTAGTTTTGTTAAGATGGGAATTGAGATAGGGAGCGTCAGGAGGATTACTGGAGGCTGGGGCATGGCTATAAAGATATGTGACATATGTAGATCAACATCGGCGGCTATTTTTTGCCGTGTCGATTCGGCTTTTATGTGTCTGAATTGTGATTCCAGGATCCATTCCGGTACCAACAATCTCGGTTCTGTTCGTCATGAGCGGGTGTGGATGTGCGAGGTGTGTGAGCAGGCGCCTGCTGCTGTTACTTGCAAGGCCGATGCTGCTGCCCTTTGTGTCACTTGTGATGCCGATATCCACTCTGCTAATCCCCTGGCTCGTCGTCATGAGCGTGTCCCTGTCGAGCCTTTCTTCGATTCTGCGGATTCTATCGTCAAATCTTCTCCATTCAGCTTTCTCGTCCCGACCACCACGGATCATGATGGGACCGATTGCTGCAGACAAGAGGATGTAGAAGAGGGAGGTTCTTGGTTGTTGCCTAATCCGAAACTTGCCATGGAGACTAACGAAGTTAAAGCTGCTGGTGGTGATTTGTTCTTCTCCGACATGGATCCATTCATCGATTTCGAGTACCAGAACATGTTTCAAGTTCAACACGATCATCACAGCGCAGCTGCGGATAGTTTAGTTCCAGTTCAGACCAAACCAGTCATCAACAATGAAAATTGTTTCGAAATCGAATTCTGTCGATCCAAGCCGCCTACTTTCGGCTTCCAAACTCGGTCTCTCAGCCATAGCGTAAGTATTTCAAAATTTCAATCCACCTTCTTCAATTACACAATCGATACATCTCTGGAAACTGATGGAAATTATACAAAACTTTCAGGTTTCTTCATCTTCGCTCGATGTAGGAGTAGTTCCAGACGGGAATTCAATGTCCGACATGTCGTATTCTTTCGGACGAACCATGACCGATTCAAGCGGACCGATGTCGGCCACCACGACATGTGGCCTAGCAGGCGGGATGGATCGTGAGGCTAGAGTTTTAAGGTACAGAGAGAAGAGAAAGAACAGGAAATTCGAGAAAACAATCCGATACGCCTCACGAAAGGCGTACGCTGAGTCGAGGCCGAGAATCAAAGGCCGTTTTGCCAAAAGGACTCAAACCGACAACGACATCGGCATCATCTTTAACTCAGCATCTGCTGCCGGATTCATGTCTGAGACCAAGTTTGGTATCGTCCCATCCTTTTGAAGGTTGAAGAAGAAGACATGGTCCTGTAATATTCAACTGTTATTTTTATCCAGCAACTAGAATAACCGTATAAGTCCATTGAAGTTAAGCAAATCAAAATTCTGTGTTTAAATTCTGTTTTTATGTAAAAAGAAGAAGTAATGTATCTATGGAGATTTTGTTGAGTTTCAAAGATGATGAGTTGCAGGCAGATGTTAACTGATCATCAGGCTTACTTGGCGTTTCTCCGAGATCAATCTGTGAATCTATTTCTCAATCCCCATTGGCCCAATTCTTTTTTAAATTTGTGAATTGTTCAAGAAATTATTTTTTTAACAACAAATAACAGGTGAACATGGGTGGGCAGTATTAAAAGAAGAGTCTTTTTTTTTCCAGTTTTTCTGGAAGTTTCCCCGACAAACTGATTGGCATGATGAGCCCAACCTCGGCTGTGACAGTGAAACTCACGTTCATAACTAATAACTATACTTAATATATAAATTTATGGTACTTTTGGTTCATTAGAATATAGTAAAAAGGAAATGGGGTGGTAGGGCGGGATGAAATAGAAAAATTACAGGTATTTACTTTAATTCATTAAATGGAATTTACATTAATAATATGGACTTTAACCCCAATCACTTTATAAACAAAATATAAAATCTATATTTAAATATATAAAAAAATAATACTTAATTAATATAAATTGTATGAACGTTGAATGTATTGATAATATAAAAAGTAAATTTTATATTAGTTCAATGTTTACTTTAATAATATAAATTTCTAAAAAATTCAACGACAAATTAGGGTTAAGGAGACGATGTCAATTACTTCAATGTAAAAATTAGGTCAAGAAGAAACCAGAGCATGATAGTTGGAGCATTCTTGAATTCATCGAAATATGAATTTTATGCATATATTCTTATTCTTCTTCTAGTGTGACCCTTAAACTACGATTTATTTTTAATCTGATCTTTTGTATTTTTGGAATTAATCGAAATCTGAGTTTTTTATGCATATATTCGTATTTTTTTTTCTTCTAGTGTGACCCTTAAACTACAATTTATTTCTAATCTGATCTTCTATATTTTACTCATTGATTGACTTAAAATGTCCTATCATTTTCAACGGTGCCAAACGAATTAACTAAAATTATTAATAAAAAATTTCAAGGGTCACATTCGATAAAAAAAAATTAAGAGTTGAAGTGAAAACGTCGTCATACTATAGGGACCAAAATGTCTATTAAGTCTTATTTTTACTCTCAAGACTTTGTTTTAACTACAAAAATGTCTAATTTAGTTAGGTACTATAAATAAGCTCCTATGATTTCATTTTGTCCTACTTTTCTAATTACTATGAATTAAATTTCATTAGGTTATATATAGTTATTTGTCATTTATTAAATCGTATTTTGTTTTGAAATAATTTATTAAATTGTATTTAAATATAAATTAATTTTAAATGAATATATTATATACTCTTTCAAGGAATGCTAACAAAAAAGTAAACATTATTTGTAACAATTTAAAATAATAAAAGGAACGTTCAATTTTAATTGACTTTTTGCCAAACCTATAGTAATCTAATCAAAGTTAAGTGAAAATTAATGGTAAATTAATTAGATTGAAATGAAGGTATAAATTGTTTAATTTCTTAATTAAGGTTCAATAGAATCAATTGACTTGCTCGACAAATGAGGTTTTCTGTTGATTTTTAAAATATATATATAAATTAAATTTTAATATATAAACAATTAGAGGTCAAAATTTGGAGAATTCCAGACAAAATTATTTCGGGTCTTAATTCTAGCTTTTTCGATTTGAATAACTTTTTATTCTGACTAAAAGGTAACGCTAGAGAGGGTTGAAAAAAAAAGGAAAATTGATAATTTTTTAAATAATGCAATGGAAAAAATATTAGTTTATCTCAATTCCTTAAATCTCAATTGAACTAATATTTTATTTCTGCACATTATCCAAATATTTTTGTCAAGAAAATTGAACAATTTGTTAATTAGGGCACAAATAAATACTAAATGAAGCGGGAAATTCTTTTTTTTTCCTCTCCTTCTTTCATGACTGTTTTATAATTTAAATTATTATTTTATAAAATAATTTTTAATAATATTATCTTTATGATTCAAATCTAGATTCTCTCTTGAAACTGCTATATGCTTATTCTTGACTCCTATTTCATGTTAAATATACATGTGTTGTTTATTTAATTTATTTTCTGTATACTAAATATATATATATATATATATTATATTTATAAATTGTTTGTTAATTTACTTTTTAATATTATAAATCTTTTATATATTTAAATATATCAATTGTAAAAGATCTTATTATTTTTTTAATAAAAAAAATTTTGAACATGGATTTTTTTTGTATCTTACCATTATACCTGATATTTATTAGAAAAATTATCATATATAATTTTATATATTATTTTATCATCAATAAATTAAATTATGCAATTCTAAGTAAACATATTTGATTGGTTGGTCAAAATGATCATATTTATTTTCTTATTTTTCCTTAGATCATCGGTTATAAATTTATTGTGATCACTCCATTTTTTTCTTTAGAAACTCTCCTTCTCCTCTCCTTGAAATAAGATTATGATTAAATTTAAAAGTTAAAAAAAATAACGCATTTCTCAAATATTTTTCCAAATGAATAGGATGGTTGACCTAGATTAAAAGGGACTTTAAGTAGAAATTAAGATGAATATTTCTCCTTGTTATTTTTTAAAGTGACTTTAATGCTAAAATGATACAACAACACGAGAGAAAAGGTGACTTTATGTCTTTGTTCAAAAATAGTGAGTGAGATGAAGCATAATGAGAATCATGAATCAAAGTGAAGGAAAACAACCAACTTTAATCTCTCTCTCTCTCTCATTATATATATATATATATATATATATATATATATATATATATATATATATATATATACATAATCATATTATACAACGGTCTTAAATTTATGTAAAACTAAAAATATTTTACATTATATAAGTAGATCCTAACGCATATATAAATTGTTAAGAGTATATGAAAAGAAATTAATGGTATTTTAAGATTAGCGCATTTAAAATTTAAAATAATTAAATGTACAAAGTTATTTCAATTATATAAGATGATAGGAATACAATTGAGATCAAATCAAAAAACTAAGAATAATTTTTAATTTTTAAATACGGTATAAAAAAATAGTCATGTTTGTAAAGTTAAAAATATCTACTGATGATATAAATATTAATTATGTACTTTTACAATTTATTTTAGAAATGCAATTTTTATAATTCCTTTTTATTTGAATAGATATCAAATTAAATGAAACTCTAAATAACTTGTATGTTACAAATGCATGTAAAAATACTGTGGGAAGACATAATGACACTACAACAAAACAGACTTTTTGCGGCGTTTTTTTACCTTTAACGGCGTTTATAAGCGCCGCTAAAAACATATGCGGCGTTAAGACAAACGCCGTAAAAATCGCCGTTGAAAATAGCGCCGCTAAAGTTTGCGGTGTTTTTTCACAAAAAACGCCGCAATAGGTATTGATATTTAGCGGCGTTTGTGTGAAAAACGTCGCAATAAGTGTTGATATTTAGTGGTGTTTGTTATAAAAATACTGCAATAGGTGTTGATACAAACGCCGCAATAGGTGTTGATATTTAGCAGCGTTTTTCAATAAACGCCACAATAGGTATTGATATTTAGTGGCGTTTTATTTTTAAAAAACACCGCAAAAGGTTTGATATTTAGCGGCGTTTGTCATAAAAACGCGCAATATGTGTTAATATTTAGCAGCGTTTCTCAGACAAACGCCACAATATGTTATGATGTTTAGCGGTGTTTTTTTGTTAAAACGCCGCAGTAGGTGTTGATGTTTTGCGGCGTTTCTGTTAAAAATGCCGGTATAGGTCTGTATATAGCGGCATTTCTAGGATAAAAACGCCACTAAATGTATGGTATATTGCGGCGGATTTTTAACAAACGCCGCTAAATAACACAAAATTTAACAATCCTAAAAATTATGTTTGAATACCCCAAAACTATTTTTTCAACCTGTTCCATTATCCAACAAACAAAACAATAATAATTTCAAACTCTATATTCATAAGAAACAACATCAAATCCAATATAATAAATAAAAGTTTTCATTAACGTAATATAAGTTCAGTTACAGAAGGTTCAGTAGAATGCTCATAACATAAATGAGACTACGATGATGAATTCTGAGGTTGCGTTTTCTGAATCATCAGCATCATATCATTGAGTCGTTTTTCAAATTCTTCACATCTCTGCTGATATGATGCTTCTCTCTGTGCTGCCGCTGCTTCTCTCTGTACTGCCACTGCTTCTTTCTCTGCTTCCGCTGCTGCTCTGGTTGCTTCTGTTGCTGCTCTCTCTGCTTCTCTAGCTTCATTTTCCGCTTTCAAGTTAGCCATTTGTTGATCCATCTCAGCCAACTTTTCTTTTAAATGACAAACTTCTTGGTGGGAAGATTGAGACTGTGATGACATGTACTGTGATGAACTGGATCCAAAATATTTAGTGGGAGTAAGGAATGATCCTTGACAGCGCACCCGACCATATCTTTCAGGACCCAAAACGTCATTAATATCTTGATTTTCAATGTCATCATCATTAACAATACCTTGACTCGAAGCAGTAATATGATACTCCGTCTTTTTCTCCCTCAAATTTTCCTAATAAGGTGAATAATTAATTAAAATAAAAAATGTCATGGTACAAATATAAATAAAGTCGGGTAAATTTAAAACATCTACCCAAAAAATGTACCATAATTTCTGCAGCGTCAGCAGTCATATGAGTACCATCCTTCTTCGTATGTGTCATGTCGAAGAGTTAGATTCGACCAACTTTAGAACCGGATGTATTTTCCTACAATGTACCATAATATAATTACTATGAGTTAGTATGTACATGGAATACAAAAAATCTATTTCAATAATCTATAATACCTCCTCATGAGCTATACAAGCAAAACTCTTCGATCCAGCCGTGTGCTTAAACTTTTGTTGTTGCCTGCTAGCAACACCAATATGCTCTCGGGTCTACAATGTCAAACAACCAATTTTAATGATGATTTACAATTCGTTACAATTATTTCTGAAAAA